TTGAAGGAAACCAGGCAAGTTAAGAGATGGAAGTGAGGACAGTCTATGAAAAGACACAGATTTAGGAGGTGGAGAATCTTGAATAAAGAACAGCAGGTAGACCATCTTGGCTGAATCATAGAGTGTGTGGAGGAGAATAAAGCATAAGAATACTGTAAAGGTAGGAAGGGGCCAGGACTTTATATTTGATCTTGGAGGTAATCGGGAGCCACTGGAATTACTGAGTAGGAGAGTGATGTGGTCAGATCTGTACTTCAGTGGTCCCCTGAGCAGAGAATGGATTGGAAAGGGGAGAGACCTGAGCCATACACGGAGACACTTAAACAGCTGTCAGTCAGTCAGACAAGATGCACAGAGGCAGAAATCTCTTGGCAGCAGATCTCTGAAGGTTAAGGAAGAAGAATCGTGGGAGCATGTGGAAATGTGTGCACATTTTCATGTTCTTCTGCCTTACTACCTGTTCTGGTAAAGCATTGTGATGTAATGGATAGAATGCTGACATTGGAGTCAAGAAGATCTAAATTTGAATTTTGCTCCTGGCACTTAATACCTATGTGACCTTTGGCAAGTTAATTAACTTTTTGTTTTAGTTTCCTCATCTACAAAATGGAAATAATAGTAATAGCACCTACCTTATATGGCTGTTGTAAGGATGAAATGTGACTATATATATATAAAACACTTTGCAAACCTTAACACTTTATATAAATGTTAGTTATTATTGTTCTTATTACCTCCCCCATTTTCTCACTGACCTGTTGCTCTCCATCAAAACTTGCAGTAGCTGGTGGGACTATCAGAAACACCTCTTTACATTTGCAACTATTTAATATGACAGTTTTTACTCATTTGTTAAAAAAGTTAAATGTCAAAATGTTTTCTTTTTCCTATGGTCTTTGAAGTGATTGATCTGTATCCTCTGAAGTTGCTGCACTCTCTTTTTATATCTTTCCACTTGTAAAATAGATGTTCATCTTTTTACATACTTAGCCACCTAACTCTTGACTCTTCTGCTTGTTTTCCAGAATGCAGATTCTTTGGTCTTCAGGGCAATATTCAAAGTACAGTTTTTCAGTGTGGCCAGGGAGTTTTAAGTTAGGGATGTCGGAAAAATTTTGTTTAATTTTATCCAACACATTTTAAATGTGCCCAGAAGCATGCCCTATCCAAGGCAAATTGAAAAGTCTCAAATAAAACCATAAAATAGTTCTGCAAAACATAGACTTGTTTTTCATTGAGTTATTTTTTTCAAAAAACACTTGTGTTTTTGTGAGAAAATGTGAGCTAAGTCCTGGTTAACACAAGAACTGTAACAAGCACTAGCTGTTAAGAGAACTACCATTGAACTTCTTTACCCAAATATAGCCTCTTGGGTGTTTCTTTTCCCCATACCAGGTTTGCGTTTTGTAAATAGATTCTCCATCATTGTCCTTTCAGAGTACATGGAATATTTTGCAGGGTCATCATTTCAAATAGTCCAGATATATTTTCTACTGTTCTCCTTAGTCTCCTTTTAATTTTTGAAAAACATAGGACTTGTGTGCTAAAGATTTACAAATATTATCCTGATGTTTCCATTTATTTAATAGTTTCATTCTCTCACAATAGAATTGATTTGCTCAGTTGTTTATAAAATTTTTTAAAAATATTTTTTCTTCTAAACAATAGTAATCATCAATGAAAACAAAAGTTCACATAATACCTATAATCATGAATTTTGTTACCTAAAGTTTGCTTTTAAATGTAATTATTAATTTTAATAAGACTGTAACAAAAATGTCCTATTTACATCTTTGTCTCCTTACTCTTTTTCTTCTGTTTTTATTTGTTTGTTTTTTTTTGGTGGGGTTAGCTTTTGTTGCCAATAATCCTTATATATTATTTTACTTATTTCTTCATCATGTATTGTTCCATATAAAATTTTCCATAGTGGTTGGCATTTTTGACGTTTGCGATTTCTCATTGTATAACAATATTTTATTATATTCATGCCATGATTGTCCAAGAAGACCTCAACTATCTCAATCATTAGATAAAGGCTTACAATTATAAATAATTATGTTATAAATACTTTGTACAGATAGTTTTTTTTTTCTTTCAGTAACATTACAGTTCCATAATAAGACCTTTTTTTCAATAGCCTCACCAGTATTGAGTTTATTCAGAGATATTTGCACTTCTATTTCTCAAGTTATTAAAGGGTTTGAACACTTTTCCAGGTTTTTGGTTTTTTGTTGTTGTTGTTTTTTGTTTTGTTTTGTTTTTTGGCTATGCAGTGGGGTTAAGTGACTTGCCCAGGGTCAGTTGTCTGGTCTGAGACTGGATTTGAACTCAGGTCCTCCTGACTCCAGGACCGGTGCTCTATCCACGGTGCCACCTAGCTGCCCCAGGTTATTTTTTTATGATTTGTTTTTTTCTTTTTTCTTTTCAAGATCTTTAGAATCAGAGAACTTGGGCTCAAATCCCAACTCTGCCATTAACTGTGTGATGTTGGTCAAGTTATTTCACTTTTTTGGGACTAATAAATCTGAGGAAAACGAGGAGGTTGCTTGACCTCTGTGGTACCTTCTGCCTCTAATCTTGTCATTCTGTGACATAATTCTATCATTTATTTATTCATATCTCAGCCATTTTCCTTTAGAAAGTGAATCCTACCCTTAATTCCTTAATTTTTTGTGTATCAGATTTTTATTAGAAATATATTTTATTAGAAATAGTAAACATTTTCCCTAGTATCTTTCTTTCCTTTCTAATGTATTGCTTTCTGTTGTATAAAACTCATTATTTTTAGCTGTTCTAATAGATCTATTTTTTTCTCCAATATTATCTTCAATTTATTGAAAAGATAATAATTTTTCTACTCTTTCAGGGTGAATTAGATATATTATAATTTTTATTAGTTTTTATTATTTGGTTATTAATATGTTTGATTTATTTACTGCATTGTATATGAAATATGGACTCAATCTCATTTTTCTGTTACATAATTCTTATAACAACAACCATTATGGGTACTCTTCCTCAAAGTTTATAATCTTCAATTTATGAACTACTAATCTATTGCATAATTTTGGTTCTAATTGTGAATTTTTGGTTCTGTTCCATTTATCTATTTTCTGTTTTATCTATATATTTTAATAAGGTAATGCCTTCTATAAAATTAACTTTTGAAACTCTGTATCTTATATATACTTAAATATGTATGTATTATTTCTTCCATTAAAATGTAAGCCCTTTGGTTATTTCACTTTTGTTTTTGTATGTTGAATGCTTAGCACAGTGAATAGCACATAATAGACTCTTAATACATTATTGTTGGTTGATTAATAGTTAATAAAACTAGATCATTTAAATTAATTAATTTAATTTAATTTAATTTAATTTAAATTTATAATTAATAATTTAAATTAATAATTAATGCCCTTCTTTGGTATAAGACATTCTTTTTCTAAGTGTAATTTTCCTTGGCATTATTATAATCACTTGTTCAGACATATATATTTTGTTATCAACTTATCTAATTATCTAATAAATAAATATGTAATTATCTAATGAAATATAATACATTAGAATTCTTTAAAATTATATGTGTTCATGCACATATGTATTCATATATATGTATATATTATAATTTAAAAATATATGAATGAAATAAATATGTATGTGCATGTATAGAACTATCCTTATACATGTATACAAATATGTATATAAATTAATACTGCCATCTTTACTCTATTAGCTCATCCTGACCATAGTATTATATATTTCTCCTGTTATTTAGTTTTCCCTTTATTTCTGTCCAAATTGTTTTTGTAGTTGTCTTCATGTAGGTCTTATATTGAGTGCCCCAAAACCCTAGTATGGACTTTAGCTCGTAAAGCTTTTGAGACAGTCTCACCCTATATGTTTCTTAATAGGTTTATGGTCAAGTATTTGATACATTTTACCATTATACATGGTATTTTGAAATCCATTCTTTTAATTATTTAGACAGAGGGAATAATTTTTAAGATCAAGGGCTTATTGAGCAGAGAAAGACATAGATAGATATCCACATTGCTGCTTAAGAGTCAAAGATAAGAATAACTTAAGATGTTATAAGTAAAAATCATTTGGCTTTCCATCATGGAAGAAGTCACTGTCTGTGCCACTTATAACATATAATTATATTTTTGTAGTATTATTTTGTGTGTATGGGTTTTTTTTTCCCCTGCCAACTAGATTATAAACTCCTGAAGATCAGACACTTACTGCTTTGTATACCCTATAGTGCAGTATTGGCTTGGGGAATAAACATAGATTAGTGTAAAGGATGTTTGAAAAAATTAATAAAATGTATTTTAGTTTAGTGAAAAACCATTTTCTAAAAAAAGTAGGCTAAAAAAGTAGCTTATAGGTGACCTCACCTCCCATTATCTAATATGATAGGGCGCTGACTGTAGTGCTCAGTGTATAGTAGCTACTTCATAAATAATTGCTAATTTATTTTTCCACGTTTTTAACATTGATACCTTCCCATTCCTAGTCTGGCTACAGAATGAAAGCTAAAATCATTAACTTACTGTATTTTAATATTACTATTAACTTACTGTATTTTATGTCTTTTATGGTTTGGAGGCTGCCTTCTCCTCCATATACCATTTTACTCTGACCTAAATTAAATCTAGATAGAAATTTGAAGTTTTTTTTTTTAACTTAGGATAAGTATTAATTTTCCAGGTGCTAGTAGAGGTTTTACTTATGCATAGGTGAGAATATATTAAAGTATTCTTTTCTGAAAGCATAAGAATAGCTAACTTGATATCATTTGTTATCAATCTAGTGAAATTTTATTTCTCTTATTGAAAATTTGCAGACTGTATACATGTGGTGACATATGTAGTTGTTCTCGTTGATTTATCTACTGATGATTACAGTTGTTTTTGTTGTTGTTATAATTACCAAATCTTCATTCAAAGCATTGTATAACCTAATTGATTTTCCTAACTTTTATATTAAAGGGAAAATCTACAGCCTTCCGGGGAACTTTTCCTCCAGTGTGGAATCCCATAGCATATCTGGATTACAACAATCTGTGGAGGACAATAGATCACATGGGGAAGGAGGTATGTTGGGGAAGGAGGTATGTTGGATGTGAAGCTTCCATAGGAAGCTTATCAAATAATTATACTTTATGTTATCATTATAGCCCCACCAGCTATATTAAATAACTTTGAGTAATCACTTCCTGTTAGGACTTTTGGCTCCAACATATAGTGGAAAGGTACTGGCTCTGGACTCAGAGTACCTGGGTTCAAATTCTACCACCTTTGAATCAGAGGAGTCCCACTTTTATGACTTTTGAGAAGACTTATTAACCCCTCCCGCATTTTAATTCCCTAATCTATATAATAAAGGAGGCTTAGGCTAGATAGATCCATGATTCTCATCTATGAACTGGCAAAGAGGTGTATACATTTTTTTTTTCACAAGTTAACCCACAGATAATGTGAGAATGGAAATTCACCTCTCCATATTTCCATATTCCACGTGTTAATTTACTGTGTGGTAGAATTTTCTGTGTAAATGGGTCATTAAGAAAGGCTCTCCATTTAGGATTCAGCATCGCTCTGCAGAGGAGCATGGATAATGACCCTAAGTATAGTATATGTTTTCCTTTCAGATTCCTTCAGAGGCTCCCTGGCAGGCACCTCATGCTGAAGAATGGGACAAGATGACCATGAAGGAGCTCATTGAAAAAATCTGCTGGACAAAGTAGACCTCATTTAATTTTGGAATTCCCTTTTTATTCCCTACCTCCTTTCAGCCACTACCTATGATGATTTCCTTGCTAGTTTAGAAGAAAAAAGTAAAAAAACACTCACTTTCCTGATGATTAGCAACCTTAAGGGAACCATTCTTGTACTTAGACTAGGGATCCTTATCCTCTTCTAAGCCATGGATCCTTTTCGAAGTTTGATGAGGGTTTATGAGCTCCTTCTCAGAAAAATATTGCTAAATGTATAAATTTAAATATTTAGAATTACAAAGGAAAATAATTATGATATAGTTATCAGAAGTTTAAAAAAATCAACGATGAAAGTATTAGAATTTTTTTTTAGTAAGGCAGAGTAATCTAGTAGTATGAAAAAGGTTATCACTTTCTCTGTGCTACAGAAGCAGTGTGGGAATGGCTAAGAAATATGTACCATATTGTTATTTTAGAAAATGGCAGTCACTATTGGGCTGCATTAGTGTATCCTTGGGTATGTACACAAAGCAAGTTTTTTAAAGAGAGGGCATTTCATTAGTCAAGAAAACCTGGATTCAAATCCAGCCTGAAAAATTTAATAGCTATGCAACTCAAGTCTAGTCACTTAACTTTTCTCAGCTTTGATTTTTCTCATCTGTAAAATGAACATAATAATAGTAACCCAATTCATAGGTTGTTGTAAGAATCAAATAAGATATCATGTCAAGTACTTTACAAAACTTAAACTGTTGAGTCGTTTCAGTTGTGTCCAACTCTTCATAACCCCATTTGAGGTTTTCTTGACAAAGATAATGGAGTGTTCTGCCATTTCCTTCTACAGTTCATTTTACAGATTAGGAAAGTAAGGTAAGCAGGGTTAAGTAACTTGCCCAAGGTCATACAGCTAGTAAGTATCTAGATCAGATTTGGACTCAGGTCTTCCTGACTCCAGGTCTGTGCCACCTACCTGTGAAAATTCTGTAGTAGATGTGAACTATTGTTATTGTGAGTCCAACATAGGATAGAGTTATGACCTCATAGACACATCCTTGTTTAATTCTTCCTTATACATATTATCCTCAGTCCCTTTAAATCAGTTGGTAATGCCATGTGCCGAACATTGTAAGTCTCTTTATTATCACCTCTTTATTATTGTATCACCTCATATCAAACCAAACTTACTCTGGCATTCTGGTTTCACTGGAGTGAGGACAAAGAGCCAGGCACCCAAAGTAAAGAAGAATCAATTAGATCACCAAATCCAAACATTGTCCAGGTCCTGACTGGATTATGTGTGCTGTTACCCTTGGCTACAGTAGTAGTTGCCTGTCTCTGACTAATAATGCATTGGGGCCACAATTAAAGTAAAAAATTTAAATACCAATTGTTTTAACGTGCCACTTATTAAGGTAAATGTTTATGCTTTAGGCAAAGACTCTGATGCTAAAATTAGAAAAGGTTATAAATGTGTATTATCATTATTATTATTACTCATTAGTAATTAGACATTCAGCCTCAATGAGATCTTCTCTGTCATTCTTTCTCTGTTCTTAAATAAAATTATAAAGTACACATGAGCCTATTCTGCCCATGCAACTCTCCTTTGAACCTGAAGGATGCTGGACAAAAATCCATGGCTTTAATAGCATCCTGATTTTCCTAGAAGGAATTACATAATTATATGCCAAAATTATAGTACAATTCACTAATTTGGATTGCTTTAAGGGGAAGATCAGGCTAAGTTAGGGACACATCTGAGTTGTAGCATATTTTCAAAAAAAATACAGTTTTATGACTTTCACCTCTATGCAGTAAAACAAACCAGTGGCTAAGGCAGCATTGCCAAGTGAAAATTATTTGGCTTTAATGAATCCTAGGGATCACTTCTAATTAAGCTAATTTTGTAAGGTGTACAGACAGTTGCTACTTAATGCTTAGAAATAGTTTCTCCCTACCTCACAGAGTTTTTGTAAAGGAAGTACTTCTAAACTTGAAGTCACTATAGGAATATGAGTTGTTATTGTTCTCTGAAGGAGGTTCTACTTTAAAAGGCCCTCTTTACGTGTCTAGACAGAAGGTGCTTTTAGTATTGGGGTTGGGTTATCTAGAATTAATGGTCCATGAGTTCTCTTTTGTCCTTTCCCAAGTATGTGGTATACCCCTTTATAAGAAACGCTTGGTCAGAATGGAGTGAAAATCAGCTTCTCTTTGTTTGGAGGCAAAACCCATAATAAAAGTACAGACGTCACATAAGATTTAGAGAGAACAGGAAATTCCCAAGGGTAAGCGGTGGCAATTGGCAGGGGAGGAAGTGAAGAAGAGATAGACTTTGGGAGGCCCCAGGAATGGTTCGCCATCAGGAAGATAGCAAAATCCGTGTGGGCAGGTCACTCTTCCAGCTACTTCGTGAGCCAGACAGTGCTCAAATTGCTCACAATTATATTCCGTTTGGGGTCGCAGTTATACTTGCAACTGGCTGACTTCTGACCCTGGCTCATATCTGCATCCTGGGACCCCTTACCCTGAAGAACTCTAAAGCTCCCCAGCATCATGTTCATATCACCAAACTGTGAGAGTGGATTGTATGAATTATGAGATTTTATTTCAAATTTCTACTTCTTCCATAGTGTAACATGACCCATGAACTTGCCTTTTCTCTAGAAACAATATACAACTATGGGATTCCCAGACTTTTGGCTTTGTAAACAAATAAGTATTATAATAAACTTTTTTGTAAATTTAAGGACTGGAGGGAAATTTTCAATTGCAAATATGTCTATATTAGACATTTTCTTCCTTGTAAGCCATGATTTGTAGGCTGTTAGCAAGAATGTTGAATGTTTAAGTTGCTATAAGACCAGAGCACATGAGGAAAAGCCAAAGATTTTCTGAAAGTGGGTCAGACTTTGTTCCACCTCTACACTGGAACCCCCGCCCCCCAGGTCCAACAAAGACATTAGGGGAAAATAAGAAGATAGGTGTTTTAGTGGTGATAGAAATGTCCACTGAAATAAACAAGAATAGATGGTTAATGATATATAAAGGATCATAGCTTATTGCATGTATGTGAACACGTGTTTGGTCTTTGTTGTCTTTCCTTTGGCAGAACTGCCAAGCAATTTGCTTTTCTTTTTGTGAATGTCAACGTTACGTCTGAACCTCATGAAATCTCTGCCCTCTGGTTCCTGTGGTATGTGAAGCAATGTGGGGGCACAACTAGAATATTTTCTGTCAGCAATGGGGGCCAGGTATGCAATGTCTTTCTTTTAACCATACTTGTGGTTATAGACTAGCTTTGTGACAAACTGACAGTGGTGTCTTAATAACTGTCTTAATAGTTTGGGGAGTGAGTAAATGGCAACTTGAAACTTCTAGTATGAGCTCTTTTTTTTTTTAAAAAAAGTCATTTCTTATTTTCATTCTTCTCATTTCTGAAAAGAAAGATTTAAAAGTTGGAAGATCTCATTTTCCCCTTTGAGATCAGCCTCTTAGAAGTTAGAGAGATGTACCTCAGTCAACCTAGCTTTGCTTAATTCCGGAAAGTGTTTTCTCTTATTCCTTTATAAAGAGGTATTGTGAGAGCTTGGCTTTGGAGCCAGGAGAACCTGGATTGAAATCCTGCCTCTGACACATCTTGGCTGTGTTACCCTGAGCAAATTGTTTAATCTCTCAGTGCTCAAGACAACTCTCTAAGACTCTAAGGTGCAGAGAAGATCCCAGCCTCAATGGTATAAGACTTTCCTTACCTGGAAGTCCTGTGTACCAGATAATATCATTATCTCCTTTACAGCCTGCTACGGTGTTTTCCTTAGTAACTTAAGGGAAAGATGTGAATTAAAACCGAGTCTTTAATTTCCTAGTCAAATAATCCATGCCATCCATTAACATATATTAAACCTTTTGGGTATGTATTTATATTTTCAGCCTCTGCAACTCTTTGCACAGCCAGTAAATATGTATCTGATAGTCATCCAAAATATTTTTAAGCCCCTTAGCATCATGATCCTATTTTAATGTTGTTTCTATTTGAAGTTAAATATTTAGTTTCTTCTGCAAAATAGCTTATGACCAAAGTGTGGTCATCCCTCACTTTGGGAACCTTTTCTATGAACTCTACCAATTAGTGTGGCTACTAGGATACAAGTGTTTACGCTATAAGTCTTTTCCAGACTTTGTGGATGGAAGTTTGCAAGTGACCCCCAATCTCAAGTTTATAACTAGTCAGAAAAGATGAACCTGCATGAAATTATTTCATACTATGTGGTCAAAAAACTGTTGTATTTTGTTTTTAATCAGTAAAGCCAACAACTCACATCAGGACAAGCAAGACAGTTTAATAATGTCTTCATAGCTGTGGTTTGGAGAAGTAAAACAGTAGTAATCACAACTAGCCTTTCAATTTTGAGTCAGCATCCTGGGTTCAAATCCTCCATGTGATTTTGACTTATCCTTTCCCTATATTTTTCATTTGAGGTTCTGTCCAAGTATAATAAATATAATGATTCTACTTTTGCTGGACCTGAAATCAGGAAGACTCATATTTCTGAGTTCAAACTCAGCCTCAGACACTAACTGTGTGACCCTAGGCAAGTCACTTAACCCTATTTGCCTCATTTTCCTCATCTGTAAAATGAGCTAGAGAAGGAAGTGGCAAACCACCCCTATGTCTTTGCCAAGAAAATCCCAAATAGGTTTGCAAAGAGTTGAACATGACTGAAGACTAAACAACAACAGCTTTGATACCAGATGATTATAACTTCATTGGCTCTTCAAAATCTGCCCTATTGGTTTCCTTAATTCTCACTAAAAGAATTTAATTTTGTATATTTGTTGTGTTTAGCTATTTTTTTTGTGATAGCAAGAGGTGATGATTAAAATAGATAGATACTAACTTAGACCCCTTAGTAGCTGTGGGACCTATGGCAAGTTACTTAACTTCTCAGTTTCCTCATCTAAAAATGGGGATAATAATATTTTTCTTTAAATATTTTTTATGTTGGGCAGTTGTGTACTGAAAAGGTTCTTTCTGTAAGCTGTTGATAGTTTTTCATTGTTTTAAGTCATGCAAATAATGTTAATTCAGATATTTGATGGAAGAGGCATGAGGGAGGGAACAAACATATATTAAGTGCCTACTGTGTGCCAGGCATTGTGCTAAGTGCTTTACCAGTCTGATTTGATCCTCACAGCTCTTGAGAGGTAGGTGCTATTGTCCCTGTTTTACAGTTGAGGAAATTGAGACAGACAAGGTTAAGTGATTTGCCCAGGGACACAGCTAGTATATTTCTGAGGTCAGATTTGAACTCATATCTTCCTGAGTCCATCTATCACTTAGCCCTTGCCTCCCTGCAAATAATGTTAATTCAGGAATCTGTTGGAAAAGGATACTTTTTCTATCCAGATGAGTCAGATAACTAATTTTGATTAAAGACATAAAGCATTAAAAAATTCATTTCATTGACATGGGCACTCCCCCATATCTATGCCTTAGTAGATGGTCTTCATGAGTAATTGTAGCTAAATACATTCATCCTGTGGTAGCCATTTTTCTGGTGATATACTTCTCTGAAAAATCCTTTAGTCATAGAGGTTATACCAGTGGAACATGAGCTCTGAGAGGTGCTTACACAAACCAAAGTATGATTATTGATTTTTTTATAATTTAGGTATATGCTACATAGTCCTCCTGTTATATCCATTATTGATATCATTGAGCAGAGTTTTTATATGTGTGTTTTTGGCTTTTCTTTTCTTCCATTTTCTTTCCCATCCCTCTCTCCTCTCTTAGGAAAGGAAGTTTATTGGAGGTTCTGGTCAAGTTAGTGAAAAGATCATGGAACTTCTTGGAGAACGAGTAAAGCTGGAGAAGGCTGTATCCTATATTGATCAGTCGGGTCAAAGTGTTTTTGTGGAAACGACAAACCATGACGTATATGAGGTAATTTCATTCAGCCAAAAACAACATATTTAATGGGTGATATATCTGATGTAGCTTTTAAATAATTGTAATTAGCTTTCTATCTTTGCTTTTCTTTGCTTATTTAAACATCTCTCCAACTGTCACTACTATTTGATTAATGCTGGTTTGTACCTTTTTCATCGTTTTCATTAGTTTATGTTTTGTTTATGTTGTCTTTCTTGTTTATGTTTTGTTTTCCCCTGGTGGTCTTGTTTTAGATGTTGATACTTACTGCTCAATGTCATTGAAAATGTAAAAGACTGTGTTTACACTTTTATCAAAAGACTGAAGTCATAGTTAAGTTGATGCCATATGTGTGTTTTAGTGCAGATATGTAATTAGTGCCATCCCTCCAATCTTGACTTCCAAGATCCACTTCCGACCAGAACTTCCATCAGAGAGAAACCAGTTAATCCAGCGTCTTCCAATGGGGGCCATCATTAAAACTGTGATGTATTACAAGGAAGCCTTTTGGAAGAAGAAGAGTAGGTTGCTCTTATTCATATACAATTCATAATAAATTGAGGGACCACATTGTGCCAAGAACCAATCTATACATTGGACATAATTTTAAAAAAAGAAAGAAACCCAACTAATTGAAATGAAGAACCAGATTTCTTTTATACCCCTTGATTTCATGAAGTGGTCCTATTAATAGCTACAGTGCCCTTCATGCATACAGGAGTTACTTAATAAATGTTTATTGAATAAATTGAAGTGAATTGAATTATAAGATAAATTGTCCATTGTCCCAGTCCTGACGTGTCATCAGACTTTTCGGGACCAGTAAAAAAAAAAAGTGGCCTTGTTTTTGGCCTAGTATTTATTCCTGAAATAGAGAGATTTCCTGATACAGTTTTCTTCCTATACTTTTACCAGTAGATCCTCATGGAGAATGCACTAGTGATCTCTAATCATGAGATTATTCATGACATATATTGGATAGGAATATTTCTGAACAAGAAGACAAAATATTTTTCCCTCTTTAGACAAAATTTTCCCATGAAGTCAAGTGTTTGTACTTAAGAGAGAATAAGTTGCAGGTTTAAGAATACGTATGTTCAGAGTTTGCCATGTCTTTAGCAAATTGTGTTTCTGTGTAATTGTTCAGGACAACACTGTCCATCTCTAGTAATTTGTCATCATCTTGTTTTTCTTTTCTTTCCAAAAAGATTACTGTGGCTGTGTAGTCATTGAAGATGAAGATTCTCCAATTTCAATCACTTTAGATGACTGCAAGCCAGATGGAACTTTACCTGCCATCATGGGGTAATCGAGAATTTAAAAATGCTTTATTCTTAGAATTAGAAAACTTTGTTGGGAAGTTATATTTGTTACAAAACATAACTAATAAAAAGCTCAGTTTGTAAGTGAAAACTTAGGACTTCAGAATTACTTCATTTTAATTCAGCAAACATTAAGTGCATACTACAAGATAGACACTGTGCTAGGCCCTGGCAACACACAGACAAAACTAACTATATTTGAAGTAGATTTATTCAAAGTAATTTGTTGAAGGAGAACACTAACAGCTGAGGGCAAGAAATAGATCAGAAAAGGTCTTATGCCTTGTAGGGGGTGGCATTTGAGATGAATCTTGAGTGGAGTTCAAGATTCCTAGAGAGGCAGAGGAGGGATTGAGAGGATTTCAGGGATGAAGGCGGAAGACCCATTGAAGTTTATAGAATGGGGGAAGGCGACATAGTCAGAAATTCACTTAGGAATTAGAAAATTTCACTTAGGAAATTCATTAGGAAAATTGCTTCAGGAAAATAATTTTGTTAGCTGCAGGGAGGATGAATTGCAGCAATGACAAGAAGTAGTGAAACCAATTAAGAAGCTATTATAGTAGTCTTGGTGAGTGGTGATGAGGGGCCTGAAATAAGATAGTGGTTGTATGAGTAGAAAGAAAGGGGCAAATAAAAGGCATTTTATAGACAGAAAATACAAGATTTGGCAGCTAACTGGATATGTGGAGTGAGTGAGAGGGAAGAATTAACGGTGGTGCTGAGTTTGCAGACCTGAGTAACTGTAACTGGGAGGGTAGAGATGCCCTTGAGAGTAATAGAGAAGAAGAGGGATGGGCATAGGGGGAAAGATGATGACTTCTATTTTGGATGTGCTGAGCTTGAGATGCTTAGGGGACATCCTGTTCCAGACATCCAGCAGGCAGTTGGTAATGTGGAACTGGTTCTCAGGTGGCAGACCAAGACTGAATATGTAGATCTAGGAGTCATCTACATAGAGATGCTAATTGAACCCACCATGGGAGCTAATGAGGTCATGAAGTGAGAGAATGTAGAAAGAAAAGAGTAAACCCAGGATGGAGCCTTGGGAAGCACCCACAATTAGTGAGCCTGACGTGAATGTAAATCAAAGAAAGGAGATCAAGGAGTCATCAGACAAGCAAAAGGGAGGACCAGGAGGTAACAGCATCACAAAATTCTGGCAAGAAGAGAGTATTCAGAAGTTTAGGATGGTCCATATTGTCATAGGCTTCAGAGAGGTCAAGCAGGACAAAGATTGAGAAAAGGCTATTTTGCAATAAAGAGATTGATCACTGTCACGTGCACAGGGCAGCGTCAGTTGAGTGGCAGGGTCAAAAGCTACACTACAGAGGACTAAGAAGAGAGGGAAAGGAGGGGAAGTAAAGGCACTGAGATTGGATCTTTTGATCATTCAAGAATCAGGGTAGAGGATCTTTTCACATAAAGTAATCAATCTTAGGGATTTCTAGCTAAAAGCAGGGTAATTAGGACTCATTATTTTCCCATCTTTCCTACTTGTTATTGCACCTCTGTGCAATTTCCAGAAAAAGGATAACTGTATCTTACACTGATACTGATTCTTGAGTAGTTGCCCAGTAGAGGGGGTGGGGAATATCTGTCCTTCTTCCTGCACTGAGCGTATGTAGCATAACTCGGCATACAGCAGCTCCAGTTTAGGGACTTTCTAGTCTGAGGAGGCAGGGAAACCCTGATATAAGTCAAGCTGGGGAATGATAGCTCTCCTCATAGTACTATGGAGCCTCTACCATTTCCCTTGTTTTCAGGCTTTCAGAGGTTCATTTTTCTGTACACTAAAAGTATTTCTGTATAAGGGGTCTGCTTATGCCTATCATATAATCAGGACCACATCTTCTACATCAGCCAGGTGATCCTTCAAGGATCCCTTTTCATTTGTTTGCTTGTTTTTGCCTAGATTCAACCTAGAAGGGTACTTTGATAGGGCCACTGCAGATACGTAGGGTAGTATTGGGTTTGGAAATTCAAAGACAAAAACCTCATGTGCTCTAAGAGCCTTTTCCTTAGTTGACTTCTGGCTCTGCTGTCTACTATTGTGGTTTGACCTTGGACAAGTCACTAACGACTCTAGACCTAAATTCCTCATCTCTAAAATGAAGGGGTCAGACTTGATGACTATTCATAGAGTCCCTCTCAGTTCTGAACCGATGATCCTGCTTTGCATCATAGTGTTCTAATTTCTGAGTGTCCCGAGACTTCTACAAAATAATGAAGAGTGAAATGAGCACAACCAAGAGAACACTGTGTACAGTAACAGCGGTATTGTTTTAAGAACAACTTTGAGCGAATAAGTCATTTTGACTATTATAAATATGCAAATTAACTATAAAGGGATGTATGAAGAAAGATGCTATCTGCATCCAGAGAAAGAACTGATAAGTAGAAGTATGTATAGAATAACTATGTGTATACATATATACACACACATACCTGTTTGTGTCTAGTGGTAGCCATCTCTAGGGCAGGGAAGTGGGGGAAGGAGGAAAAAAGGGGGAAAAAAAGAAATTTACATGGTAACTTTATTATATATTTAAAAGGAATAGTAAGTTGTACATTAAAGATTTGCAGTTTCATGTACAATCATCTTTTTTTATTATACTGTGTTATAGAAATGTTTGTTTTAGTCCATAAATTAAAAATTAAATAAATACATAAATAAACAATTTTTTTTCTCATCAGGTTTATCCTTGCCAGGAAGGTTCATCAACTTGCCACCATTAGTAAAGAGCTACGGTAAGAGTTAAATTTGAAAAAAAAAATCTATTAAAACAAGGCATTATTTGTTGTTTGTTGTTCAGATCTGTGATTTCGATATTATAAGGAACCCCCATTCAGATAACTCCCTCTAATCACACAGATCAACAACTGTTCTATAATTTAAAGTAGTGGGAAGTTCTGTGGTACGCACCAAGTAAGGAAGAATTAGGTGCATGTCCTTCCTCTGACAAACACTGGTTGTGTGACTCTGAGCGATTAAAATGTCTATGTCATCTATTAAAATGTCAGCTTCATTTTAAATGGGCTAGTTTGGAAGGTTCCCAAGGAAAGAGTAATGAATGAATTAGGGACTTAACTCTTACTCTTCTTGGAGGAGAATACTTAGAAATCATCTAATGGAAACTTCTTTTTAGTATAGAAACCTCTTCTACTGTAGACTATAAGGTTGAGAGGTAGAGTAATGTAGAGGAACTTAAACTAGAACTTGGATTCTTATCTATTCCAGATATTCAGTTGTTATGGGAAAAACATCTCATCCTTCTTAGCCTCAATTTCATCATTTCTAAAATGGCGATAGTAATACTTATACTACCTACCTCAAAGAATTGTGAGAAAAGTACTTTGGAACCACTTACGCACTATAGAAATATGCTTTGTAATAATGTGTATTTTTGGGGGGCAGCTAGGTGGCACAGTGGATAGAACACCAGCCCTAGAGTCAGGAGAACCTGAGTTCAAATCTGGCCTCAGATACATATAACACTTACTAGCTATGTGACCCTGGCCAAGTCACTTAACCCCAATTGCCTAATAAAAATAAATAAATAAATACATAATGTGTATTTTTTTAAGTAAGCACACCCATCGGCATTCAAACCTTTATGGATATCTAGTCATAAATATTAACAACTGACTGTTGTTGTCATCGTTGTTCATTCATTTCAATTGTGTCCCACTCCCCTTGAACTATTTGGGGTTTTCTTGGCAAAGATACTGGAATGACTTGCCATTTTCTTCTCCAGCTCATTTTATGGAGGAGGAAACCGAGGAAAACAGGGTTAAAGGACTTGTCCAGGGTCACACAGTTGGCAAGTGTCTGAGGCCAGATTTGAACTCAGGAAGATGAGTCTTCCTGACTCCAGGCCCAGCTTTCAATCCACTTTGCCAACTAGCTGCTCATTTACAACTGATTATCATGTAGCAGTTATAACCTTTATATCTAAAGCTGTACATTAACTTTGAAAGTGTAGATAAGATTTGTCCAAGTAAGGAAAAAGTTGATATCAAAAATTTCAAAATGATAATAGCATAATTTTGAAGAGAACTGATAGGAATGAAAGTATCTAGATTAACTTTGATTTTAAATTATCTTGGTAAACACAGTTCTACAAGAGGCTTTGGAAAATACTTGCGACAGGTACAGGCTTCAGGAGGGTTGCTTTAATAAGGTTGAAAAACAATGAAAAGCTGGAGTAGTTAGTTCCCTTTTAGACAGTGAGTTGTTTATTTTACTTAAATCAAGTCAGAGTTAATGATGGTGTAAATGGCTCTAATATAAATGATTCTCTGAACTTAAGCAGTTTCTAGATGATTAACCCATTTGCAATTGATTTTTGCAAATGTAAGCCAAATTGTATCTAATAATTAGTTAAATCCACAGATATTTTCAATTAGAAAGTTAGTTCTTTTCTAACAAAAATGTCTTTAATATCTTAGGACAAAACTTCAAGCTGCAAATAACTTTTGAAAAAGAAATCAGTGTACCTACAATTTCTTGAGGCACATGTCTGACTCCCCTAATCAAAATCTCCAGTAGCTCCCTATTACCTTTAGGATATAAATGCCTCTGTTTCCCAACCTGGCCCCAGCCTACCAATCTGACCTTATTATACATTACTCTTCTTCATATACACTTCAGTTTAGTAAATTTGGCCTTTTTAACTGTTCAGTACAAACGGGTCTCCATTTCTAAACTCTCTGTCTTTGACTTTCCTCTGTACCTGGGATACAATTCCTCCTCACTGCCACCTTAGAGAATCTTTGTTTCCTTCAGTGCTCAGCTCAAATACCACCTTCTACAGGAAGCTTTTTCTGATCCTCCCAGCCACCATTGATCTCCTATCTCCCCTTTATATACCTATCCATTGCGCAGTTGGACTGGTTAGGGGAGGGCAGCCAGAATTCAGAAAGGCCTTGGGTCTATACCATATGAATATTGGCTGAAGGAACTGGGGTTTTTTGAGTATCCTGCAGAAAAAGATACTTGGAAGTGGAGTGAGCTGTTGGGAAGCATTTGAAAGGCTGTACCCTGAAGCACGGCTGAGACTTCTTACTGCTGGGCCTCAGAGGGCAAAACTTAGAGCAATAAGGAGACACTCCCAAGAGACAGAGTTAGGATTGATGAAGGGAAACACTTCTTACCAAAAGTGGAATGGGCTGCTGGAGTGGAGGAGGGGCACCATGTTTGTTCTCTCTGGAGGAATTCAAACAAAGGCTGGAGACCCCACAGAGGGGATAACATAGATGGGATTTCGGTTTAGGTGGGAGTTGGACTAGCAGGTTCCTGGGGTGTGGGCCCTATTCTGACTCCGTATCATAAGCTGCTTCTTAAAACTGCCTGGGGAGTGGTGTTGATAATGGTGGGGACAGCCAAAGTAGAGTTGGATGGTGTAGAGGATATATTGGAGAGGGGAGAGACTAGAAGCGTGATGGGGAAGATTGAGAACTCTGTAATCTCCATTTTTTCCAGATTCATGTGTGAACCTTTGTAGTTGCCACTTTTAAGAAATATCTCTAAATTTAGTGATCAAAAAAGCATTGCTTTTTTTTTTTTTAGTGGAGAGAACAGGGTCCCTTTGGAAAAGAGACTGGTGTAACCCCAATGAGGGATCAGGGCTGGCTTCCCAGAGGACGTGGTAGCTGAGCTAAGGATGACAAGGATTCTCCATGGCAAAGATGAAGAGGGGCACCCTCTAGTATTGGGGAATAGACTGTGCACACAGGAAACGGGATGTTACGTTCAGGAGACATCTGCTATTCTTGTTCTCTCTCCCTTAGAATTAAGTAAACAGTGTACTTTACACCACAAGGGTGGTGGTAGACATATGGTTAAGTTTTCACAATATGCCTGCACTTCTCAAATGTTCATAAGATGCCTAGGATTCTACGATATAACCCTTAAAATTTTAAATAAACTTCACTGACTAAAGAAGGTTTAGTTGCACAGGGACATCTGGTCAGTGTCTAAAATATTTTGTATTATTTTTGAAGGCACTCTCCCCTGCAAACAAATTTCTTTTCCTGTCTTGACCTCAATCCTAGGCATCAGTCAATAAATAAATATTTACTAATGTGCCAAGCATAATAGTTTACTTGTATATTCATATTAAAAATTATTAGCATATGACCTCCATGAAGGTGGAGACTTAACATTATTAATTTCTTTATCTGCCCTAGTACCTGACTTATTGGTCTTCAAATTATAATCCCATAATAAATTTTTATCCGGTTGAGTTGGGCAAATCATTTAATCTCTCTGTGATTTATTTTTCTCATTTATTTAAAAAAAGGAAAAAATGATGGGATTGTTCGAGAGGGTTTCCTTAAGTCCTTTCTTGCTTGAATGCCCTGCGATTCTGACTTTCTGAGCACTGAGAATGTTTTATACTCAGAACATTTTTATAATAAATGCTGTGATTTATGTTTGAAGTAATTATTGTTAGAGCTTCCTTCTCTTCGTTTTGAGAAGACAGAGAGAAGGAGCAGAATTGGTACTGTAGTTTCATGATTTTTGACTTGTGAAATTAACCATTAAACAGCTAGGTGTCTCTGAAGGAACAAATTTTGACTCTCCTTTGATCTCAAATCCCTGCCTAAGGTTGTATGCCATTTCTCTGGGATTCTCTCTCTCTCTTTCTCTCTCTCCCCACCTCCCCCCCTTCTCTCTTTCTCTCTTTCCCTCCTTAAATCTTCCATAATAAACTATTGGAGATACCTTGAAGTTTGTATCCCATAATTCTAAATCATGCTCCTAGCTGAACATTCTTTCCCTTTGGAATAGAAACAGCAACACATGAACTGAGTATTGGGTAAATTGATCCATGGATCATTAATAAGTTACTGTAACTTGGAGATATTTGAAAGTGGGATGTATCACCATTCTTTGAAATTGGAATCTTGAGGTCTTCCCCAAAACATCCCCTTGTCAGAAGATAAATATTTTCTGTTTTAGTCCCCATCTTAGGGAAAGGGAAACATCTCACTAGAGTATTTGAGGTACTTTGTGGCCGAGTCAGAGTTTGGGGAATGGGAGCAACTCTTGTTTCGTTGGAGATAATATGCTACTGTAACATTCCCATAGCCCCAAACAGACAAAACCAGTGGAACTCATAGAACCCATTCTTTTTTGGTGCATACAAACATGCCCTGGATGTCCCACCATGCAAATTGAACCCCAGGGGAGTAACAAAAATTCACAATAGATGTAGGACCCAGGAATCTAAGATAATCCAAGGAACTGCAATAGCATACTGAACCAGAGAAAGAGAGCAATTTATTCTTTGTTATTGAGGTAATTAAGGGATTCAGTACTTGGCATTCAATACCCCAAGCTAGAGCTAAACTGTGGGTATGGAATTTAGATACTAATCTGTAGTACTTATTCAAACAAAGGCTGAAGAGATATCATCAAAGTCTGCAAAATCCCTTAAGAATGTATGTGGTCTTCTTCATATAACATTAAGGTTCTCAAAGTAAGTGATAGTCTTCAAAATCTTAATGTGGTATTTATAAGACAAATAATAAGCTATTCTTTGTTATTTAGCAGCTATTAAAATTATGGAAACTGGGACCCCTAGAGGTAGTCTAGGCAGAAAATATAAATAGGCTTAAGAATAATTAAATTAATTTGTGATAGATCCATAATGGCTTCTAAAGGGAATCTAGAGAAAATGATCTTTAACATCTTGAAATGACATCATAGTAATTGGCCATGGCCCTGAACAAACTTTTCCTTGGTACGTACCTTGCTATCTGAAACAGAATCCTAGACAATGGGTTGGAGCATTGGTATGCCTGAGTCTGGTATTTCTTCTGCACTCTTTCAAATACTAATTAAGCCTTATCTATTTATTATTTCAGACAGAGTATAGAGTTTTGGGAGATAATCTTATTATAATATATAGTACCTCAAAAACTTGTAGGAATTATAACTCCTTGTCCAGAAAAGTGATTTAGAATCAATGCCCGAACTTTTCTCCTGGTTCTCTCTACTTCTAAATTAAGTCATGCTTTGCAGATTGTTATTCAAGTAGGCATTACAGAAAGAAGATACTTAAGGTCTAGGCGTCATCAAATTGAATATAAAAATCGGCATTATCATAAAGTAGTTTTAATTACAATAATTTATTTGTAATTAAATTAGCTATCCACTAAATGCAGATTTGGATTCTTGAGTACTTAGAGAACACAAATCAAAATTACTGATTTTGTTCTGTGACAAGTTATTGGAGCTTAAAGTTTTTCTTTTTGTTCTTACCATTTTGTAGGAAGAGGAAAATCTGTGAAATTTATGCGAAAGTATTGCACTCACAAGAAGCTTTGCAAGTAAGCAGTTATCTTTAAATTATAGATATGTTCTTCTGGTTGATTTAGATGGTAAAAGTGTAATGCAAATGATAACTTCCCAGTAGTTTTATGAGAAATATATAAAAGGTGTCTGTTTAGTTTTGAAGATTCACTTTAGCAATTAAAGGAAGTTAAAAAAAAACACAAATTCTCAAATGCAAATAGTATCTGATTCATAAGGTCACAAGATTCTTTATTAAATAAAGGTTTAATTTGATAGCTGACCATTAATTCCATTAAAGTTCAGCATCTTCATTTATTATCTCAAAGGGCAGATCAGTTTAGTGGTTCTGAGAGGAGAAAGTTGTTTTTTCCCTTAGTCCTTAGTTTTTTTTGTACTGTTTTCTTATATGCATTTTATTTTCTCTCCCTTCCAATGTCCTTAATCATTTTTTTTAAAGAAAGAAAATTCTCAACAAATATATGTAGTCTAGTAAAATAAGTTTCTATATTGACCATGCCCAAAAATGTATGAATCTTTCTGGATTTTTATTCCATCACCTCTGACAGAAGGTTGGTAGCATTTTTTTATTCACACTCCTCTCTTCCTATAATTTATCCTTGATCAAAATACCAAAGACTTTCAGAGTTGTTTTCCAAGTGAAGAATGGTAGACAATATGACATCTGTCCTTGTCACTAGCATCCAGTGACCAACAATCAGGATCATGAGCTGCATCTTTTGTCATGAAAGATAATCACAAGAAGAACTTTAAGAAGATAAACTAAAACTGAGGACAACTGGGTGACACAGTGGATAAAGTGCTTGGCTTGGAGTCAGGAAGATTTATCTTCCTGAGTTCAAATCTAGCTTTAGTTAGTAGCTGTCTGACCCTGGGCAGGTCACTTAACCCTGTTGGCCTCAGTTTCCTCATCTGTAAAATAAGCTGGAGAAGGAAATGGGAAACCAAGAAAACCCTAAATGGGATTACAAAGCATGGACACAACTGAAAAAAGGACTAAACAACAACAGCAATTACCAGCAAGTGTGAAGCATTGTTGTGCTATGCAAACTTTTGATCTTGTCCTTACAGGTTAATTTCTCTTTAGAGTTAGTAATTAGCTTTTATTTCCAATGGCCTCTGTCCAACAAGAACATGAATCTAGAGAAAAGAATTCTTTCTTTTTTTTTTGTTTTTGTTTTTGTTTTTGCTTAGGCAATAAGGGTTAAGTGACTTGCCCAGGGTCACAGAGCTAGTTAAGTGTTAAGTGTTTGAGTTCAGATTTTAACTCAGGTCCTCCTGACTCCAAGGCTGGAGCTCTATCCACTGCACCACCTAGCTGCCCCAAGAATTATTTCTTAAGCTAAAAAGAAACCTTTACTTTGGGGACATGTCTTCCAGCATTCCAAAGACATACATCTTTCAGTAAGTGCTGGAGAAGCCAGAGGGGACATCTCTTATCTTCTTCAGCAAGCATTTTTATTTTTATTTTTTTTTAGTTTTAGTTTTCAACATTTACTTCCACAAGATTTTGAATTCCAAATTTTCACCCCATCTCGCCCCACCCCCACCCCAAGATGGCATGCATTCTGAATACCCCTTCCCCTAGTCTGCTTTCCCTGCTATCTCTCCCCCTCTTCCCCTTCTATTTTCCTGTAGGGCAGGATAGATTTCTGTACCCCATTTCCTGTACTTATTTCCCAGTTGCATGTGAAAACTTTTTTTTAAACATGTGTTTTTTAAACTTTGGGTCCCAAATTTTCTCCCTTCCTCCCTCCCCACCCACCCTCATTGAAAAGGCAAGCAACTCAATATAGGCTATACATATGCAGTTATGCAAAACACTTCCATAGTAGACATGCTGTGAAAAACTAACTCAACTAATTTAACTAACTCAATTAATTTCCCTTAATCCTATCCCGCCCCCCCCATTTATTCTATTCTTTCTTTTGACCCTGTCCCTCCTCAGAAGCATTTGCTTCTGATTACCCTCTTTCCCAATCTGCCCTCCTCTCTATCCTCCCCCTACTCTCTTGTCCCCTTCCCCTCCTATTTTCGTGTAGGGTAAGACAGATTTCCATACCCAATTGAGTGTGTATGTTATACCCTCCTTAAGTCAGATCCTATGAGAATAAGATTCACTCGTTTCCTCTTACCTTCCCCCAGTTCCCCTTCACTGTAGGAGCCTTTTCTTTTCTGTTTTTTTTTGTGAGATAATTTACCCCGTTCTACCTTTCCCTTTTTCCTTCTCCTAGTATAATCCTCTCTCACCCCTTAATTTTATTCTCCATATAAGACTCCTTCATCTTAAACTCACCCTGTGCCCTCTATCTATCTGTCTATCTATCTATCTATACATCTATCTATCTGTATATATGTACATACATATAATTTTTTCCCCTCCAACTACTCTAATACTGACAAAGGTTTCATGAGTTACAAATATCATCTTTCCATGCAGGAATGTAAACAGTTCAACCTTAATAAGTCTCTTATGATTTCTCTTTCCTGTTTACCTCTTCACGTTCCACTTGAGTCTTGTATTGGAAAGTCAGATTTACTATTCAGTTCTGGTCTTTTCATAACAAATGCTTGAAAGTCCTCTATTTCACTGAATGACCATTTTTTCCCCTGAAGAATTATACTCAGTTTTGCTGGGTAGGTGATTCTTGGCTGTAATCCTCTGTCCTTTGCCCTCTGGAATATTATATTCCATGCCCTGTGGTCCCTTAACATAGAAGCTGCTAAATCTTGTGTTATCCTGATTGTGTTTCCACAATACTTGAATTGTTTCTTTCTGGCTGCTTGTAATATTTTCTCCTTGACCTGGGAACTCAGGAATTTGGCTGCAATATTCCTAGGAGTTTTCCTTTGGGGATCTCTTTCAGGAGGAGATTGGTGGATTCTTTCAATTTCTATTTTGCCCTCTGGTTCTAAAATAACAGGACAGTTTTCCTTGATCATTTCTTGAAAGATGATGTCTAGGCTCTTTTTTTGATCAGGGCTTTCGGATAGTCCAATAATTTTTAAAAGATCTTTCCTGGATCTATTTTCCAGGTCAGTTGTTTTTCCAATGAGATATTTCACATTGTTTTCTAATTTTTCATTCTTTTGGATTTGTTTTATAGTGTCTTGGTTTCTCTTAAAGTCACTAGCTTCCAATTGCTCTGTTCTAATTTTTAAGGAAGTATTTTCTTCAGTAATCTTTTGGACTTCCTTTTCCATTTGGCCAATTTTGGTTTTTAGGGCATTCTTCTCCTCATTGGCTTTTTGGACCTCTTTTGCCATTTGGGTTAGGCTATTTTTTAAGGTGTTATTTTCTTAAGTATTTTTTGGGGTCTTCTTTAGCAAGCTGTTAACTTGCTTTTTCATGATTTTCTTGCATCACTCTCATTTCTCTTCCCAGTTTTTCCTGTACTTCTCTTACTTGCTTCTCAAAATCCCTTTTGAGCTCTTCCAAGGCCTGGGACTGATTCATATTTTTCTTGGAAGTTTTAGATGAAGGAGCTTTGACTTTGTTTTCTTCTTCTCATTGTATGTTTTGATCTTCTTTGTCACCAAAGTGAGATAATATAGTCTGACTCTTTTTGCACTGCTTGCTCATGATCCCAACCAATTACTTGAGTTTTAAACTCTTTGTTAAGGTAAGAGTCTGTTTCCAATGTGGAGAATGTACTGTCCCAAGCTTTGGGGGTTTGTACAGCTGTTTTCAGAGATACTTCTAGGGACCTGAAAAGTGTCAGTTCTTCCAAGGTGCTATGATAAGGGGCGAGGTGTTTCCTCTCCACAGCCACAACGAGCTCCACCACACCAGCGCTCCTCCTCGCCCCAGTACCGCCCCTCAGAAATGTGACCCAAATCCAAGCACGGGCAAATCAAGAGATTGCTGCCTCAGCAATGGCAAAGAGCTCCCTGCAATCCTCCTCTGATCAGCCACTTGATTCCCCCTCAGTCTGTGGGCCATAACCTCAGAAGCCAGCCGCTGCCCTCGGGGTGGCTGAGATCTAGCTTCTTCTCTCACCGCAGTAACAGACTTTTCCCACTGACCTAAGTTGTCTTTGGCATTCGTGGGTTGAGAAGTCTGGAAACCGCCACAGCTGCCCACGATTCAGTCCTCTATGGCCTGCACACCCATGCTGAACTGCACTCCTCTCCCAGCTTGGCACGATATACCTTTCCAATCAGCCATCCAGGTTGTCTTGGGCTGGAAATTTGTTTTACTCTGTTTTTTTTGTGGGTTCTGCTGCTTTAGAATTTGTTTAGAGCCATTTTTTGTAGGTATTTGGAGGGGTTTGGGGGAAAGTTCTAGCAAGTCACTGCTTTCCCTCTGCCATCTTGGCTCCACCCCCTTCAGCAAGCATTTTTAACCATAACTGCCTTCATTCAATGAGGATCATCCCCAGCAGGTCCTCAAGCTTAGTAAATCTTTTCCAAAGTCAGTCTTTCTCAGATTTCTCTACTTATCTCACATTTCTTTCTTCCCACCATTATGCTCAGCATTAATAATAATAACTCATATTTATAAAGAGATTTGCAAAGCAATTTTCCCACAAAAATACTCCGAACATCAGCATCATTTTACAGATGGAGAAGTGCAACTTGCAAAAGTAAAGCCCCTCTCTCAAAGTCACATGGTCTCAGAGTTGGAAGAGATTTTAGTGGCTGTGTAATCCAATCTGTATTTAATGGACTTTTCTGTTTTCATCCTTTTCATCCTATAGAGGCAGTTAGATGGTGCCGTGGTTAGAACCCTGGGCCTGGAGTCAGGAAGAACTAAATTCAAATCCGACCTCAGACTCTTACTAATCTGTATGACCCTGAGCAAGTTACTTAATCTCTGTTTGCCTGAGTTTCCTCAGCTGTAAAATGGAATAATAATAACTTTTCAGGGTTGTGAGGATCAAATGCCTGTAAAATCCACTTAGCACATAGTGTCTGGCACCTAGTTGGCACCATATAAATGCTTAATCCCTTCTTTTAACTTTTCTGCAGTCTTTAACACCATCATTCACCCTCTTCTTGATATTTTCTTCTTTTTAGGTTTTTGAGACATAGCTCTCTCCTGGTTCTCCTCTTACCTGTCAGACTATTCCTTTAGTCCAGTTTCAAAGTCTCCTTTGCTGGATCTTCATCCAGGTCAATCCTACTAATCACTGACCATTCCTCAGGATTCTGTCCTGGGCCTTCCTCTCTTCTCCCTCTATACTATTTCATTGGGTGCTCTCATTAGCTCCCATGGATTCAGTTATCTCCATGCAGATGATCCTCAGGTCTGTTTATCTGGCCCTAATCTTGCCCCTGACCTCCAGTTTCACCTTTCCAACTGCTTGTCAGATATGAACTGCATTTCCTGTAGATATCTTAAACTCATTATATTAGACTGAACTCTATCTTTCTTCCTTATTTCTTCCCTCAAACCTTCCCATCTTCCTAACTTCCTTGTTAATGGAAAGGGCACCGTCATTTTCCCGGTTATCCAGACTCACAATCCAGGCGCTATTTTCAACTCTTCCCACTCTGTCACCCCTGTGTCTAGTCTGTTGTCAAGTCTTCTTGATTCTTCCTTTATAACATCTCTCATATATGCTCTCCATTGTCCTGTGCCACCCCCCAGCGCAGCCCCTCGTCACCTCATCCCTGGACTGTTGCCGTACGCTTCTGGCTGGTCTCCCTGCCTCTAGTCTCTCCCTACTCCAGTCCATCCTCCCCCAGATGTCAAATTGGACCTGACCATGTCACCCCCATATGCAGTAAACTCCAGTGGCTCCCTCTCCCTCCAGGATCAAATATACAATCTTTCGTTAGGATTTTAAAGTTCTTGATAACCTTGTCTCTTCCTGCGTTTTCAGTCTTCTTAACACCTTGCTCCACTTTACAGAATTCAATCCAGTGACTCTGACCTCCATACTATCCTCCCACAAGACATTCATCTCCTAACTCTGCATTTTTACTGCTGGTCTCCTATGCCTGGAATTTTCTCACCTACTCACTCTTCTGGCTTCCTTCAAGTCTCAACTAAAATCCTACCTTCTGCAAGAAATCCTGGTGCCCCTTGATGCCGATAATACCTTCCCTACAAATTATGTGACATATACATCTAGATTGTCTGTAGTTGTTTGCAAATTGATCTACCACATTTGAAGTGAGCTGCTTGAAGGCAGGACTGCTTTTGCCTTTCTTTGTAACCACTTCTTGGCACAGTGCCAGGCCTATAAGTGCTTAATTAATGCTGCTTGACTTGATTTACTTAGATTATTATGTGCATTTGAATGGACAATCCATAGAGCTTGTCCATCAATATGTATATATGGAACAGACAGTAAGAATGGATTATGAATTAGGTGCAAAATGGAAAAGGAAGAGAGGAGCAGGATAGATTGCTTTCAAGATATTTCAGAGTACCTTTGTCAACCAGAAACACAGGCTTGCCTTTTTCATACCTGTCTTCTACTAGTGTTGTTATTTGGTTTCAAAATGTGGGACATAATTTTTGCAAAATTTAATATTAATATCACACAGAGGGCAATGAGGAGAATAGCATGAGAGATTTTGTCATATGCTTTGCTGAAATTTAGATAATCTTTATCTGTAGAATTCTCTAATAATCTTCTGTCACAAAAAAATGAGGTTAATCTATCATGACCTGTTCTTTTTTTAAAAAAAAAAATTATTTTTTCCCGATCACATGTAAAAACAATTTTTACATTCATTTTTTTAAAATTTTGAGTTCTAAATCCTGTTCCTTCTGTCACCCCTCCCTGAGATGTCAAGCAGTTTGATATAGGTTATACATATGCAGTCATGCAAAACATATTTCCATCTTAGTTATGTTGTAAAAGAAAACACACACCAAAGAAAAAACCTGTGAAAAATAGTATGCATTAGTCTGCATTCAGACTGCTATTAGTTTCTTTTCTGGAGTTGGGTAGCATTTTTTATCATGAGTCCCTTAGAATTGCATGACCTGTTCTTGATGAAGCCTTTTATCATTAACTTTATTTTCCAGATATTCACTCCCCATCACTTTAGAATTTTGCCAGCAATCAAAATCAAGCTCACTGCCATATAGGTTGAAGAATTTACTTATTTCTCTTTTTCTGAAGAATAGGAAAACATTTATCTTTCCCCAGTTCTTCATCACCTCTCCTGTTCTGCATAATATTGCCAAGATCATTGACCATGATCCAGCAATTATATCTTCCAGTTCACTGCAGAATATAAGTCATCCAGACCTCCTTATTATCTCCTTATTTATCTTGGTTTTCAGTTTTTATTAGCAAGTTTTTGTCTTTTATGTTTTAAAGATCATTATCCTTAGCAGAGAAAACAAAACAAAACAAAAATGAATCAGCTATGTTGTCTTTCCATTGTCAGTTATCATCATTGCATTCCTCTCAAGCCATTGCCCTTACATCTTCTTTTTTTCCAGTATAGCTTTCTTAAAATAAATTTTTGTTATTAGCTCTTTCTGAGCTATATTTCTCCTGTTCATCGTGCCTGTTTGAATCCTACCTCATGCACTTACTAGGTGCTGACTCTGGGCAGGTAATTAAACCCTCTCAGTCTTGGTTTCCTCATCTCTAAAATTGAGATGATTACAATGCCCCCTATCTCAGAGTTGTGAAGATCAAACAAGATAATATGGGTAATATACTTTGCCAACCCAGATTAAATGGTTAGCTATTTTGCTTCCTGCCCTTGTTTCTATCTTCTGTGGATCTTTTAAAAATTGGTTGATTCATTCCCTGAACATTTACTTAGTTCTCTTTAAACATCTTCCCTTTATAGACATTCTTATACTGATTCTTCTTTTATCTTTGGAATTTAATTCTTCAGAGCTCCCCAGCCCTCTTGTCATGATTTCTCCTATGGAATTTTAGGTTACAGAATCTTACCTCTACCACTCTTTCTTTAAATCCTTATGAAATCTGCTCTCTATCAATCTAAAAGATATATCAGATTATCCCTTACTTTCGTCTATAACAAATTTAAATACGGAATGGTCACTCCCCTCCAAGAATCCATTCATGACTACCCCAGCAATAAGTTCATCCTTTAATAGTGAAAAGCAGATCCAGAATAGCAATATCCTTTATTGTTTCCGTTGTCTTTTGAAAGATGAAATTATCATTGAGGCAAGCCAAAAAGTCTTTAGCTTTTCTGCTTTTGGCAGAGAGATGGCCAGATATTAAAATCCCCTCTCACTACTATAATCATGTTTCTCTGTTGTCAGTACTTTGATTTGTTTCTGGAACTCCTAAGCTGTTCAGTCCTACTCCCTAGATTTTTTGTGGTGTATATTACAATGACACTGTTAAGTCTGTTGACTCAAATGTTCCACCCCACCCCAAAAAAGTTTCCTTTCTCTGATTTCCTCACATCAAGAAATCTTCTTAATCCTATACTCTAATTCAAATCCTTGCCCCCCTCCCACATACACATGCTTTTACAAAACTATGTTATCCCTTTAGAATAAAGTATGTCCTTCCAGACAGTATTCTAGTCATTCCTAATACATACAGAGCCTCAGAAATACCTATAAAATTAAATTGATTGGCATGCATATATAAACCCAGGTCTTCTGGCACTGAGTCCATAGCTCTATTAATATCATCCTTCTATCCATTAAGGCCACAGTGTGGATGAAACTTGAACATTTAGGTCCAGACCCTTATCTTTGGATGCTACAGAGTATTGTGATGGGTTTTGTTATTCTCACTATTGGGAATAGATTCTTTGTTTTCCTTCATTTCAGCATTTCAGCTTTGTTTTCTCTTTGTATCATTTCCTGTGAATCTTGTAGCCAGTGCATTATGAGGAGAAGAACTGGTGTGAAGATCAGTACTCTGGAGGCTGCTACACGGCCTACTTCCCGCCAGGGACCATGACTCAGTATGGAAGGTACAAGTAAACTACTTTTCTTTTAGAAAAGCGATAGGGTTAAGGGCTGAGAAGATGAATAAAAGACAAATGAAAGTAGAAAAGTAATCAAAGAACTTACAGTTTTTAGTGAATCACTCTGTAGGAGCCTGGGTATCAGTTACTGTCTGGTTTTGTAAAAATAGTCACGATACAGTCAAATAATAGTTTGCTTGGTTTTTATTGGGAAGTAGGTAACTAACTGAAGGGAGGCCATGGTATTTGAAGATGAAACAAGATTTTTTTCATAAAAAATAAAATCAAATACAGTGAAATAGCTATTATTAACAGGACTTAGACAACAGTAGAATAACTCAAGATAACAAAATATTTTATCTTCAGGGAGGGCAGCCAGCCAGCAAAGGGACTAGACCAGATAACAGCTGAAGCCAAGGAATACTAGATTGGAAAGTAGGAAAGCAGAGAGCCCTAGGAAAAGAGAAGAAAGCAGTTAGGTTTCTACTTTGCCCATCCTTCTTTCTTATTCTCTTTGCCAAGAAACCTTTTCATATGTAAAATATTCCCTTTGCCTTGAGCTACTATGAGATAGTCTTTAACTTGACACAACACCAGCAGGCATTTCCTTTGCCAGAACTGTCACCTTGTCTTCCCTCTCCCACCTCTGGGGTTCTTGTACTGCCCCCAATATCCTTTATTGCTCTTCCCCTCCTCACCCCAAACCTTGCAGGCAATAAGGCATTTTATAGAGCTTATCACCTTAAAAAGGGGGGGAAACCCAGCATGATTGTTATCAGCTGTTCATTATTGACACAAAACATCTGTGATTAACCTAAGGAGTGAGAGAGTTAACAGGAAATTTATTTCACTAAAATAATGATGCTTGTCGAAAATAAATAAATTCCTTTTTAAGATTCATATAATGCATTCCTGACAATGCATGGAGTAAGGTTTGTCTCCAACTGCCTAATAATTTGATTTTTGTATGACTCGGTGCTTTCATCTCTAACTGAAAACCAGGGAAGTTGTTTGGTTTGTTTTTTAAATAATTGAGCATGTCCTTCCATCCGTATTGTGAATGCGTTATTTGGCTCTTGTCATCTTCCCAGAGAACTCCTTTTGACTTCTCATATTCACTTTGAAGGGTTATCCGCCAGCCAGTTGACAAGATTTATTTTGCTGGGACAGAGACAGCAACCTATTGGAGTGGGTACATGGAAGGAGCAGTGGAAGCTGGAGAAAGAGCAGCTAGAGAGGTATGTATAGGAGAAAGTGGAATAATACACTATAAATAATTCTAATGTTAGTTTATGTTTCTATAGAACTTGTTCATTTATAATATTATTTCCTTACAACAGTCTGTTGCAGCAGGTTGCATAAATATTATTTCTATTTTCCAAATGAGGAAACTGAGTCACAGAGAGTTTGTCACTAGCCCAAAGTTGCAGAAATGGTTAAATCAAAGAAACAGGATTCAGACTCAGGTCCTCATTTCTATTTTTCACCATACCACGTTACATATGTGTTTTATGAGTAAGGAAAGGGCTTGGGTGGGATGAATTATCTTTGGAAAGAAAGAAGAACCCCTCTGCTCAAGAACCTAGATGGAAGGGTAAAATGGGTTACAAAACAAAAAAGTTTTAGTTGTGAAGGAAGTAATTGAGAGAGGAAGCTTTATGTTCCATGGCCTCAACCTTTCCAATAAAGTAGCAAATAAAATTTACCTACTTAAAGAAACAGTGGATTTAAAATGTAGATATTGATTTGAGAAAGAAGTAAAATTTTTAGAACATCTGCAATAGAAAATTTGAGAGTACCAAAGAGGTTTATCATACACATATGCACACACACACATTAAGAACTGATGGTATGTAATGTTTTTGTTCTCAGAATATTTTTAAATGCATAAAATAAATATATAGAATTCAAAAAGAAACAAGTGATATCAAAATTGGTATCAACTCTTTTTAAAAAAAAAACAAATTCATGCATAAGAACTTCTGCTATATATAAAACATAAAATAAGAATCATCCTAGATGTTCAGATGTAGAAGAATGGCTAAACAAAGTAGACTATTAATATATGGTTACAATTCAATGTCAGTATGTATGATGGTATATTAATAAGATGTTGCTTTGTTTACTATAGTTACTTATCTGATTTATATTAATTAACATGACATATGCTTCTACTTCATATGTGGTATGTGGAGACAATCCTGGGTTTTTGAGAGCTATATGCTGGAGAAAGATACTCTGAAAAGTCCTTACAAGCTAGAAATCCAAGGTTCAATTTAATTAAAAGAGGTTCATCACCAGAAGATTGATCTTCATGGCAGTCAATTTTTTTTATATTTTTTTCCACTTACACGTAAAAATAATTTTTAACATTCGTTTAAAAATTTTTTGATTTCCAAATTCTGTCTTTCCCTTTCTCCCCTTCCCCTGCTCCTTGAGAAAGTAAGCAATTTGGTATAGGTTAATTCAGTCATACAAAACATATTTCTGTAGTAGCCATGTTGTAAAAGAAAACATAGACCAAAAAAAAAAAATAAAGTAAAAAAGTATGCGTACAGTGTGCTCCTGGTTCTGCTCACTTTACTTTGCATCAGGTCATTTAAATTTTTCCAGGTTTTTCTGGAAGCCTTCTGCTCATCATTTCTTATAATACAGTAGTATTCCATCACAATCATATACCACACCTTCTTCAGCCATTCTGTGATTGAAGGGCATCTCATCAATTTTCAATTCTTTGACACCAAATCAAGTGTGTGTGTGTGTGTGTGTGTGTGTGTGTGTTTGTGTGTGTGTATACACACACAAACACACACACATATCCTTTTCCCCTTTTTTTAAATCTTATTGGGTCTAAGAGTATGCACAGCTTTATAGTCTCTGGGCATAATTAACAATTCACAACTCCACTAACAATGCATTAATGTTCCAATTTTCCCACATAGGAATATAAACATTTTAATCTTATTGAACACCCTCATGATCTGTCTTTCCTGTTTACCTTTTTATACTTTTCTTAAGTCTTATATTTGAATATCATATTTTCTATTTAGCTCTAATCTTTTCATCAGGAATCCTTGAAAGTCTTTTATTTTGTTAAATGTTAACTTTTTTCCCTGAAGGATTATATTTAGTTTTGCTGGGTAAGTAGGTGATTCTTGGTTGTAATCCTCTGCCCTCTGAAATATCATATTCTAAGCCTTCTGATTTTTTAATGTAGAAGCTGCTAAATCTTGTGTTGCCTGACTGTGGCCATGATAAAAAAGTTGTTTATTTTTGGCTATTTGCAGTATTTTCTCCTCCTGGGAGATTAGGAATTTGGCTATAACGTTCCTGGAAATTTTCATTTTGGGATTTCTTTTAAGAGGTGATTGGTGGATTCTTTCACTTTCTATTTTACTCTCTGGTTCTAGAATAAAGGGACAATTTTCCTTAACAGTTTCTTGAAATATGATTTCTGGCCTCTTTTTTTTTTTGATCATAGCTTTCAGGTAGTCCATTCATTTTAAAATTATCTGTCGATCTCTTTTCCAGTTCAGTTTTTCCAATGAGATATTTCACATTTTCTTCTATTTTTTTCATTCTTTTGATTTTGTTTTATTGCTTCTTTATGTCTCATGGAGTTAGTAGTTTCCACTTGCCCAAATCTAATTTTAAGGAATTATTTTCTTCAGTGAGCTTTTGTACCTCTTTTTCCATTTGTCCAGTTCTACTTTTTAAGAAGTTATTTTCTTCAGTGAATTTTTGTACATCCTTTTCCATTTGGCCAATTCTGCTGTTTAAGGAGTTCTTCTCTTCGGTAGATTTTCATCTCTCTTTTACCATTTGGTCACTTCTGTTTTCTAATGTGTTATTTTTTTCTTGCATCACTCTCATGTTTTCCCCCAATTTTTCCTCTACTTCCCTTATTTGATTTAAAGAAAAATCCTTTTTGAGCTTTTCTAGGAGCTCTTTTTGGGTCTGAGACCAATTTACATTTTTCTTTGAGTCTTTGCATATAGCCATTTTGACATTGTTGTCCTTTTCTAAGTTTGTGTTTTGATCTTCCCTGTCACCATAATAATTTTCTATGTTTTTTGTTCTATGTTAAATTTCTGTATTCTTTGTTATTATTATTATTGTCGATTGCTTATTTTTCCAGCCCATTTCTTGAATTTCAACTTTATATTAAAGTTGGTCTCTGCTCCTAAGGTAGAGGGGACACTTTCCCAGATTTCAGGTTTTTTGTTCTGTTGTTTTCAGAGCTAATTCTGGGGGTCTGTAAGTTTTCAGTTCTTCCAAGGTGTTATGGTCTAAGGAGAGGTGTGATTGCTGCTCTCCTGGCCTGTACCCTGGTCTGTGAGCAATCACAAGTACTGTTTTTGCCCCAGAACTGTGAACAGGGTCCCTGCTTCCCTGATGCCAGGATCTCTAGGATTTTAGTGCTTTTCTTCTCCCTTGGACTGTGACCTGGAACCGAGGATAGGCATTGTGACAGAATCCTGTACACACCTCCAGCAAAGGGTCCCTTATAATCGCCTTCTGATCAGTTGTCTGACCCCCTTTCTGTCTGTGGGTGAGAGCTCTGGAAGTTGCTGCCTCAGGCTTAGTTGCCCCCAAGGCCTGCTGCTGGCTTGTGCTAGATGTGGCTTCTACTGACTGCCCTGTGCCATAGCCTGGGTCTCACAGCTGCTTGTGCCAGGCTTAGGTCGTGCTGGCTCGAGTCTGGAGGCCTCACTGCTGGTTTGCTCCAAGGCTCAGGTCCTTGCTGCTGGCTTGTTGGGTGTGGTGTTTGCTGGACTACATTCTTCTATCTCAGCGAGACAGACCTTTCCTGCCAACCTTCTAAGTCGTCGTGGGCTGGAAAATTGTTTCAACCTGTCCTTTTGTTGGTTCTGCTGCTCCAGAATCCATCTTGAGACATTATTTTGAAGTTGTTTGGAGGGGAATTTGGGAAAACTCGGGCGATTTTACTATAATTTTTATATTTCTCTTTTGCCCCATCACGTTCTATCTTGTATCAGAATTATTTTTGTATGTATTGTGCCCTGTCCTTGCCTCCTGCAGATTAAATCATCAGTCCCCTGAGGGTAGGGATTGTCTTGGCTTATCTTTGTAACACTAGCCCCTAGAAAAGTCTCTTACATATAGGAGGCACTTATATTGAATAAATGAATGAATGAATTCAATAATACTTAATCGTATTTCTTTTCAGGTGTTGAATGCCTTGGGGAAGGTGGCAAAAAAGGAAATTTGGGTACCAGAACCAGAGTCAAAGGTAAATTTGTTGGTTTTTTTCTTTCTTTCTTTCTTTCCTTCTTTCATTCTCTCTGTCTCTCTCTCTGTCTCTCTGTCTCTGTCTCTCTCTCTCTCTCTCCCCCCCCTTCCTTCTTCAATTTTTTGTCATATCTTTAGCCATACTTAATTTCCCTGTGATCCTCTGGGTTAATTATATGTCTACCATAAAATATTTTAGTGCCTGCTCTTTCTTGGATATACAAGCCCAGCTCAACCTCTTCTTGAGACAGCCTGACAGATGTACTTTTGTGTTCCTTTATCCAGGAAATTCCAGCCCTGGCAATCACCACCACCTTCTGGGAGAGGAACTTACCATCGGTTTCAGGCCTGCTGATGGCTCTCGGAGTGTCCTCTTCCATAATTGCCCTCTGTATGATTATTTGCAAATGCAAGAGCTTGGCACGATAGATTCTAAAATTTCATTTTCATGCTTTCTGCTTCTTCCTTCCCCAGTATCATCAAAAGGAAAACCTGGAAAAATTAAATGTGGTAACATTGGACCCTATTTTTGTGCACTGGATTTTACAAGCCAGTTTTTTCCCCTGTCAGTGTTAAAGTCATCTCCCCCAAAATTGCACTCAGTCAGTTTCAGTAGGAGCAGGGTCTGTCCCATCACTTGTATGTGCCGATTAACTTGTATTCATTGATAGAATAAAACCATAGTGTCAGATTTTGAATTTCAGGAAGTTGAAAATCTCAAGGGAAAGCTTTGAAAGATCAGATGCTCATAAGAAACAATCACTTACTTCTATATTCTGATTTTTCTCCTTTAAAAAACAAGAGCACCTTATGATTTCATTAATAAATTTCTTTTTAAGCTTCTGTCTGCAGTGGCTCCATAAGTTAAGGATCAATCCTATGAAATGATCATCACAGCAGGGAGGCTGGCCTGAGGGCCAAGTGGCAGTGCAGACTAAACCACTCCTTCCTTCTTTGGGAATGGGGAGGTTTCTAGAGCCCACTGTTCACAGTGTATCCTGCAATGAGCAGGCCTCCTTTCTTAATCATTAAAAAATTATTTTCTTAATCATTTTAATGTGGTATACTAGAAATAAAAACATTGGATTAAGGTTTGTGTACATCTCATATACATCTGCTGTGGGGAATGCCATTCCATTTTCAGTTTCCACAAATTGTCTTATTATCTGGTCTTCTCTGTTGCTGTGTGTGTGTGTGTGTGTGTGTGTGTGTTCCTTTGCTGCTAGATGTGTGTATGTGTGTGTATGTGTGTGTGTGTGTGTATTTGTTTTCCTTTGCTGCTAGAGATGTACTCAAAACCTGAGAAGAATGTATTTACTGAGGTATACAGTTTAAAGTGTTTAAGGTATATTGAGGTATACAGTTTAAAGTTGGTTAGGATAAAGTCTATGAGTAGAAGCTTACATTAGTCCAAACCAAGCATTTTTCTAAAGGCTTATAATTAGTATATTCTTACAGATAAAACCAGTATGCCCCCCAGTACTGCATGAAATTCGAGAGAATCAGTTTAATCATTGTCAAAGAAAACCTGAAATGTGGGTTTGGGGTTAGAATTGAAACTGGGGGGAGGGGCATCAGGAACTTCTTTTTTTTTTCCTATTGCAGCCATTTTTCACTTAGACCAGAGGTTAAACTTTAATGCTACTTCTGTTTTCATAGCACCACTTTCTTCTACATTATGATTAGATGGTTATCAAACCAAATATTTTGATGAAATAATGTTGCTAAAGATTCAAATTGTACTCATATATGGTAACATTTTTAGATTTCAGATTACTATGTATTTTCAAAAATAATTCTGAAGGATATCAAATATAATCTTATAAATCATTCATCAAAAGAAAATAGGAATCAGTGAAAATTATGTGACCTTTTAAATTCATTTTACTTTAAAGACAGGAAATCAAGTGGATTATAAATATCCTTTATTCTAGAAGTCCAATAGTACACATTTCTTCCTCATGATGCCATTTTGCTGTCACATTTTTGAAAATTTTCTTAAATCCTAGGCAGCATTTCTAAACATACAGAAGGGATATCTTGTTAATAGTAATGTGAGGTGGGAGGAGGGGAGAGAAGAAGCCATCCAGATAATAATTGTAGAAAGTAATTTAGAAGATCTTGAAAAGTCACTCATGGCAATGTAGTGAGTATCTATGTAAAATAATTTGTCCAACATAAGTCCAGGGACCAGTATGTTTCACTTAAGTAAGTTTTCCAGATAACTGAAGCTAAACCCTTCAGGTGCCAAAACTTTAAACAATTTAACTTTTATCGAGCTCTCTGTCAAGTGAATAATGAAACACTTTCATATTCTCATTAAACAAAAATTTAGATTTTCCTTGATTTCTCAGGGTTCCTTTTATAACCATTCATAGTACATCTGCTCAATGCCCTTAGAAGCCACATGTCCCGTCCAGTGGCTGTTCCGTGATGTGATTCTTCAGCCTCTCCTGGATCCTCCTTCACTATTATTGTCATTTGTCAGGGCCAGCTTTGCCCTTCTTTCTCAGTCTACCACGCCTTGTAAACTGAGAAGAACTATTGGTTGCCAAAGGAAGCTAGGTAGATTTGATTTATTAAATCCCCACCTTCTTAAAGAGTACTGCTCTAAGGTAGCAGGAAGCCTGGAAGACTCTTCTAAGTAAAAAGCAGCCTTTGGGATAGTTGTGTATAGCTGGTAGCTCTGAACCCTTGGCTGGCTGCTTTCAGGTTTTCTGCTGTATTCCCTGGGTAGATGGGATTGCTGTAACCTAGTCAATCACAGTCACTCCTAGCTCTTCAGTGGAGAACCACTGCTTTATAGGGCATGAGGGTCAGATTTAATAATGGCCTAGGGGTGTTAATACAACTGACTCCCAGGTTTTAACTGCTTCATCAGTAGGCAGCTGTGGTATGACAGGGTGGAGATAGCCTTGACCAAGATTCAGAAGACTGATCAGCTCCGTGACTTTGGAACAGTCACTTGCCCTCCCTGGGCCTCAGTTTCCTCCTCTGAAAAAACAAGAGGAACCTTATTCCCTCTTGTTCTTAGCCAATCCATTCTAGTCAGTACAGTTGTCTTAAACTACAGCTTAAATTAGTCAAAAAATAAGTGCCAATCCAGACATTTTCATGGAATCAGCTATAGGCAAGGACTTACAGATCATGTTACCTACCTGAATATAGAGATTGTAATAACCTTTCCTGGACCAAACGAATGAAGTCACTTTGAAAAATCTGATAGTGTGTTCTCTTATTAGGCCATCTACTTCAGAATTTCCGAGATTGAAGTAGGAGAACTACAGTAAGATCTCTAGAAATGGGTAACAGTTAACTTGAGGTGGTTATTAACTGTGTTAATAGAAAATGTTAACATACTGTGTTTTAGAAAAACTTTGAAATTAAGGATTGGGGAATGTGTTCAATTTGTCAGTTTAGTGTCTGATGTTTTATGTTTCAAGTTTGCCTCAAAGTTGCGTTATGTGGAAGTATGTGTGTGTTCTTTGGCTATAAAGTAATATTTTGCCTTTACTGTCTTGTTTGTTAATAAAGTAGAATGAATATCAACTTCTGAGTTAATCTTGCTTCCTCTCTTGGAACGTAAATTTGGATTTATGGACAGAGCTCTGTAAACCGTTTTATGGCATGAGGCCAACAATGAAGCATAAGCCACAAATTTATGGCTGGAATTAGCATTAAACCCCAGAGCTACTTGGTTTGAACTCCTTATTTGGATTCATAAAATCTGATTGGAAAAATTGATACAGTGAGAGAGCAAAGCCTACTACATTTTTCCCCTTAGGGCTCTAGGCATACTTCTCAGGAATTGGATTGTCTGTCTCTAATGCCAACAATGGGGACTAGGTCTGAACCCCTAAAAGGAAAAGACCATGTCCACCCCAAAAAGCAAAAGCCCTGGACTTTCCCACGTGGTCAAATCTCTGGCATTTGCCTGAGGCTATAATCCTATCAACTGGCCTTTCATTATCACCTTCACCCAATCTCCCCATTCTTGGTTACCCTTAACCTAGCCGAGCCCTCCATTGTCTTACCTCCCTATGGCCCAGGCCACTTCCCACCCTTAATCCTATCTGGGCTCCATTCTCCCTTGGCCATGTGGTCCAGGTGCCTGGCTTTCTGTTACCTCACAGTCATCCTAGCTTATTGGATCATCCTTAGACCCCTTCTCCAGGCACCCAAGACTACTTGTCCACTCCTAGATCCCTCCCACAGTCTTTCTATACATAAGGTCCTTCTGGTCTCCATTAAGGTGCTCAGATTCTTAAGATCTGGCCTGCTTGTATTAGCAATACAAATGCTTAGATTCCTTAAGAATCTGGCCAATATGGCAGATCTTAAATAAACCTTGTCTTTGGCTGAAAGCAAGCTTGGGTCAAATTCAGTTGGGTAGGACCCACGTTTTATGATTTTGGGGTCCCAGCACCCATAAACCTCTAAACCTCAACATCGCTGGATTGAAATTCCCATTTCAATCTGAACCCCCTACTACTGTTAGCAACCAGTAACCAGTGTCTGAGTTCCATTTAACTAATATCAGTTAGCTTTTTCAAAGGGATACTTGCTTCAAAGCCATTGAAGATCTAGAAAGCACAAAAGTACATTCTCCTCCCAACACGCCAAGGGCACACTTTACCCTGTACTATCTTGTTCTCTGGAGAGAATGGGTCTCCAGATGGAGCTCTACCAGATGAGTCCTCATCTCACCTCCAGTTTGCTCCTGGAAGTCACTCCTTGTAGAGTAGAGGCTGGCTGCAAAACCCAGCATGGATTTGACCCTCCTTGACATGAGTTGCCTCACCTGACCCCTTGAAACTCACAAAGTCATAGCCCCAGTTTCACCTAAAATGAAACAACAGTGAGGCAAAAAACTGAGGCCCATATTCATAGGCTACGTGTTGGCTTTGTATTTCTTTCATAACATTGTCTTTCTGTAGCATACCAATAGCAGGAAGCAATCAGCTGAAGAGGAGGGGCCGCAGTTCTGGTTGGTTAATGTCTGCTGACTATACTTCCAGCCATACAGCCTCAGCCAGTCAGAGGCTTATCCTCATCATATGGATAGCAGACCTGAACCAGTTACAGAATGTCTGCATGTACTCTAAATCTCTCCAAGGCATCTACCATTACACAGCCTTATTACTCTTCTGGAAGAAGAGTTCCCTGGCGTCTCCCATGTTCAGGAGGTTGGTTGAATCAGAGGGTCTTGCACATGCTCTTAAGGACTGGCTCAATGACCTATCTTCTATTGAAGTCATAGAGACTCATCTGTTACTAAAATGTTCTGACTTGACTGTAAGATATTACAGTATAATAAAGGTGTTAGAAACACTGAATTGGGAGTCAGAAGGCTTAAGTTTTAATTCCAACTTAGGCACTATAATCTGTGACTTGATTTCCACACCTACAAACTAAAAGGTTTTAGGTAGATAATCACTAAGGTCCTTTCGATCTTCAATATTCTCTGGCCCCATCAATGATTCTTAAATTTCCTTTATAACTTGGCCTCTGTTTCTACATATTTGACAGTAAACAGATTGCTTTGTCTTTCTGTGCCTTGATTTACTCTACAAAAAAGTGTAGTGTTTCCAACCTGAGAGATGCCAATTCATTTTAATAAATATGCATTAAGTGTGTAATACACACGGGGTACTTGCTAGTTGCTAGAGATACAAAAATATGACACCGTGCTTTCAAAGAGATTACCTTGCTAGGGGATGGGGGTGGAATGGGGACACAGGTATGAATCACATGTATACAAATAAATATAAAATAAGAAGAATGTAGCAAAGGGACTGAGCCCATTCCAGACATTAACGTAAGGAAAAATGAGAATTGGGAGTGGACTAGTCTAATCTGCCTGGAACATTGAAATACTATTGGGGAGTAGTATGAGATAAAGCTAGAGAGGTAGGATGGAGTCAGTTTGTGAAGGTCTTTAAATACTAGAAACATGACATTAGACAGTTGAGACGTACTGGAGATTTTTGAATATCAGAATGGCATGATCAGACCTGTGCATTGGAAGGGTGACTTAGGCATGCTGGGACAGACTTGACCTATTAACCTTATGGAGAATTTGATAATATTCAGTTCCTTATTAAGTCATCAAACCACTTTAGATTATATTTGTAAACATTTCCTGGCATGCAGAATCTTAAAGTTAAAAAGAACCTTAGAAGTCACCCAGTTAAAAATCCTTTTATCGATGAGAAAACTGAAGTCCAAGGAGTGCACTTGCCCAAACTCAAAGATAGCAAGTTAGGGGAAGAGTCAGTACTTGGAATCTTCCAAATCATAGTTCAGTATTTTTCCCCCAGATAACAAACTCAGAGAGGAAACACAACACAAAAATGGATGGACCCTTTTTTGAAGAAAGAAGATTAGCATATATACCAAATGGTGTGAAAGTTTGGGGAAAGAACTCATCTGGAGGCCTCATTGAGTAGGTAGAACTTGAGGTAAGCCTTGAAGAATAGGTAAGTTTTGTATAGGAGCCAGGAAAAGAGGGGGCAGTGGGACATGACAGAAAGATTCAGATGCATAAATAAGGTTGTATGTCCCACATCAACAGCTATCTATTGGAAATTTAGAATTGGATGTTCTGTTCCTCAAATTCAACTTGTCCAAAACAACTCATCATCTTTCCTCCCCAAACTATCTCCTATTTCTTCCCTATTTTTCTAATTACCCAGATTTTCAGCCTTAGAGCCATGCTTACCCTCTCCTTACCCCATATATACAACAAATTCCTAAATCTGGTGAACATATTCTCCCAACTTGAATGGCTGAGGTAGCCTTCCTTGGGTGAACCTACAAAAAACAAAAACAAAAACCAAAAACCAAAAAAAAAGGAGTTAAAAAGTTAAGGGATTTTTTAAAAAGTGAAATATCAAAGATTTTAAGTGGAAAATCTCTTAACCCAGTGTGCAGTTGAGTAAATGAACAAAGAGGATCCTAAAACCAATAAGAAGAATGAGCATTAAATACACAAAGAGCAGGCAAAGATTGCAATAAATATAAGACAAAGGAAAATGAACTTATGCCTGATGAAATATAGAAAGAATCCTGTGGATTCCTAAGTGGCATGGAAGAAGAAACTTGAAAATCGTTCTAGACAAAATCTATTTTTTCAAAAAAAAGGAAAGATTAGAATGGCTATAGGTCAGAAGTTAGAACTTTTGATATAAAGATTTTAAGACAATTAGCAGTTTAGAAAAAAATTAAATCAAATATGGAGAGTCTCACAAGAAGGAAAAGAATTCTGGAATACAAAATGTTGAAGTGAAGGAAAATCTGGCATAAAAGAAGGCAACAACATTAAAAGAATATATGTATTTATACAAACCAAAATCATTGATATTATAGACAAGATGCACAGAAATACCTATTTGTAAGGATCATAAGTCTCCCAGAAGACCATGGCACACCAAAAAATCCAAGTGTCACAGTGCAGGAAAAATATGAGTAGCCTTTGGAATACAGATGACAGTACCAATTGAGAGAAAACCATAGACCACTTCAAAGTACTTCAAATTCAACAATTTCAATGATAAAAAACTAATTTTGTAAGTGATGAGGAGAAAGACCTTCAAGCATAAACGGGAAAAATTGAATATACAAAATTATTTAGTATCTCTGAAAAATTGCAGACAAAGATGGAAATAGTACCTATTCAAAAGCAAAGAAACTCAAGCTGCAACCCCAGATGGTAACCTACAAACCTGTGCCTAATTACCATTTAAGAAGATAGATATTCAACAAAGGAAAAGCATTTGAGGCATTCCTGTAAACATACCAAAAAATAAAAATACAGGAAAGGTATAAATATGTACAACTACTAAGAAAGAATGAGTGATGAAATCAATCACTCCATGTAGAGACGTTATTTTTTAAAAGACAGAAAGACTGACTTATCAGGCAAAACCAAAATAAAACAAAAAAAGGGGGATCAAGGGATCTTCCATCAAGGGATGATTAAAAAAAAAGACACAAAGGGATAATGATATAAGCACAATTTAAAGAAATAGAAGTTAAAGTGGTGAGAACTAAATAAAGGACCATGGACAAACCATGAGGCAACTAGATGGTACAGTAGATAGAGCATTGGACCTGAAGTCAGGAAGATCAGGAAGAATTTAAATAAGGATTCAGATACTAGCTGTATGACCCTGGGCAAGTCACTTAACCTTTGTTTCCTCAACTGTAAAATGGAGATAACAGGGCTATTATGAGAGGTTGTTAGGAGGATCAAATAAGATAACATTTGTAAAGCGCCTGGAAGAAGTACTATAAAAAGTATACTTTATACTATATGGTATGTAGTATACTGTAAAAGGTATAAAATGCCCAAATTAAATAATACAATTTCAGAAAATAAAATTGAACTACCTTTAAGGAATTATCAAAGGAGAAGGAAAGAACCTTGGTCAAAGCGAAATTACAGGAATTAAATCTTTTTTTTTAAAAGAATGATGAATACCTATATTATGCCAATTATTCTCAAAAACTGAGAAAGAAAAACTCTACCAAATTCCTTTTACATGACA